TGAACGACCAATTATGATTATGTGATAACTCATCACCATGGTTACTGTTTTCCTTTTTATCTTTTGAGGAAATTCGAATAGTTCTTGAACAAAGAATACTCTCTTTCTTTCGATAACTTCATCATCAGGTTCTACAGTTATGTATGCATATATAATAATGAATAAATTACTGCATCATAGATAAGATTTTAAACAAAGCAACAACTACAGATTTAGCAGAATAAACTGGTACCATATTTTATTTCGTCGCCTTCTCTTCAGCTGCTTACAGGGCAAAAACATTATTAAACGTATCTACAATAACAATTTAACATACTTACACAGAGTTCATTTTAAACAGAAATCAATCAATCAATATACACATACACTAATAATATATACATATATGTATATATATGCAATCTTGAACACAATTCCGAGCATTAATAATCACACAAAATGAAAACTTTTCAGTATCTCGTATTCGGATGAAAAATATCCAGTTACCAGGGCAAAGAAAGACTGATAACCGCTTCTTTCTGAACGCATAAATCAGGTTTCAGGCGCTTGATGGAAAAGGCTTCAGCAAATTTGAGGGGAATTAAGCTCTTTCGCCTATTGATAATTTTGAACGACTTTTCGACGTCCACCTCATGACCCGTGTCGAGGAGATGCCTGGCGGTGGCACTGTTTAAAGCGTTTGTTTCCTTTATACATAAGCTTTTTGGTGCATGTTCAGAAAATCTTAGATATACCCTTCTTTCTGTTCTTCCAATGTAACTGCTCCCACAGATACATGTAAATTTGTATATACAGTTGGAGTTATCATGAGAAGGATATCTATCGATTTTTGATTGCATCAAAGAGCAAGTTGTTCAATAGACGGGAACGAGCTTAGCTGCAGGATAGGCTATGGCTAGTGATGTACTCAGCCTTCTGTTGATCATCGCTGCAATGTTTTCGCCTTTATAATCAAGCTGAAAGTAGATTGGCTTTTTTCTTACTGTGATTTGTTTTTCATTTGCGACTGCAGATCTTCCATACTTGTTGATGAACCTTTGAGGGTACCCATTGCTCTTCAAAGTCTTTTCAAGAAACTCAAATTCTTCCTCTAGTTTCTCTGTAGAGCATATTCTTCTCGCTCTATAGTACAGAGTCTTGACCAGTGCTCGTTTATAGCTATTTGGACAAAAGCTATTAAAATTTAAGTATTGTCCTTTCCATGTGGACTTACGATAAATTGACTTTTGAAGACTACCGTCTTCTAGGCGTTCCATGGCAATGTCGAGGAAGTGGAACTTCCCGTCACTTTCATGTTCCACAGTGAACTTGATATTGGCGTGTGCATCATTGAATAATCTTAGTAGGTGTGAAGCATGACTATCATTTTTACACACTATAAATGTGTCATCAACGTAACGACAGTAGGAAGTTGTTTCATCGATTGCATGCTTCAACTTTGTTTTCTCAAGATTTGACATGAAGATATCTGCTAAAACAGGGCTAAGTGGACTGCCCATAGCTACACCATCTATTTGTCGGTAAAGAGTGTTTTTAAACTGGAATTGTACATCCATGGTACACATTAGCAGTAGGCGTTTGAATTCTGACTCTGGTAGTGGAAGCAGATCAGACTGTTGACAAATGATTTCAATGGTTTCATTGATTGGGATCATTGTGAACAAGGAGGTTGCATCAAATGAGACCATGAACTTATTTGAAACGTTCATATGATTCACGCTTTCGGCGAAATGAAATGAGTCTTTTATGGTATGCACGGCTAGACGTCGGCGATTGGGTTCCAACTTCTCCGCAAGCCAACGTGCAACCTTATGTTGAGGAGAGTTGATCATCGAAAGTATTGGTCTTAGAGGGACATCTTTCTTGTGTATCTTTCGAAGGCCATACATATATGGCAAGCGGGACCCTCTGGGTTTCAATTCATTGTACGTGTTGTTGTCAATCAAATTCTTCTTTAGAAGATCTCTCAGTACATTTGTGATGCGTTTTTCAGTTGCATCTGTCTTTTCTTTCTGGCAGTCGTCGACTTTAAACCTCACTGGGTCATTCAGCACAGTTTTCATTCTTGCGATGTAGTCATCTTTATCCATCAGTACCACTCCTGAGCCTTTGTCAGGTCGCAGTATGGCAATTTTGTCATAATTTCTGAGAGATTTCAATGCCTTTTGATGCTCTTCAGAGAGGAATTTGGAATATGATGTTGGTGAAATGAGGTATTGATTTGCAACGTCGACCAACTTAGATTTGAACCAGCTCTTCTTGTCATCATCAACTGGAGTGAGATCATTCAGCTGATAGAATAAGTTTTCAAATTGAACTGCCACATCAGTTCTTCCAAAAAATTTATTTGGGATGTGGAAGTTGAATCCAAGAGAAAGTGCTTCCATTTCAATGCGATTTAACTTCAGACTCGACAGATTACAGATATAATCCTCAGGATTTTCTGGGAAAACGTCGCACAATTTCTCCTTTGTCAGGGATTTCGACAGAGTTTTGTAGAAATTTTCACATGTTTTCTGTTGAAGTCCTTGAATAAAATTGATGAATTTGATCCGGCATACTATATTCAAACTATTGACGACACCATCGAGAGATCGTGCTTCAGTTCTCAATTTAGAAATCAGAGATTCTGTTGAGTCAATATACGATTTAGTAATGCGTCGAAGATTTTTGAGAGATGGAGGTAATTTGCAAGTACGCAGTGACTTCATGAGATGGCGAGGAAAACAGTGAGACCGCAAGCATTCATGGTAAAACTTCAATCGAGTCACTTCTCTCGATATTCTGCAACGAATTGTCACTAAATGATTCAGTGATTTGAAAAAGATTCGCTGGGGAGGCGTTTTTTCAGAAATTTCATACATTTGTTCCCCTTAATGAATTTAAACAAAGCAACAACTACAGATTTAGCAGAATAAACTGGTACCATATTTTATTTCGTCGCCTTCTCTTCAGCTGCTTACAGGGCAAAAAACATGTACCAAAAAGCTTACGTCTAAAGGAAACAAATGCTTTAGGCAGTGCCATCGCCAGGCATCTCCTCGACACGGGTCATGAGGTGGACGTGGAAAAGTCATTCAAAATTATCAATAAGCAAAAGAGTTCAATGCTCCTTAAGTTTGCTGAAGCCTTTTCCATCAAGCGCCTGAAACCTGATTTATGCGTTCAGAAAGAAGCGGTTATCAGTCTTTCTTTGCCCTGGTAACTGGATATTTTTCATCCGAATACGAGATACTGAAAAGTTTTCATTTTGTGTGATTATTAATGCTCGGAATTGTGTTCAAGATTGCATATATATACATATATGTATATATTATTAGTGTATGTGTATATTGATTGATTGATTTCTGTTTAAAATGAACTCTGTGTAAGTATGTTAAATTGTTATTGTAGATACGTTTAATAATGTTTTTGCCCTGTAAGCAGCTGAAGAGAAGGCGACGAAATAAAATATGGTACCAGTTTATTCTGCTAAATCTGTAGTTGTTGCTTTGTTTAAATTCATTAAGGAGAACAAATGTATGAGATAAGATTTTATTTTGATAAAGTCACACTGATTCTTTTACAGTAATATTAACTGATGACCACGTTTCGAGCATAAATTTTTGCTGCTCATAATCATATCAAGTCACTCACACAACTTTCACGCTTCATTTATATACATGAGTGGAATTGATGATTAGACATTAAAATAAAAATAAGTATAGGATGATGTACATTCAGAAATAATGATATGAGTGTTATCAATCGACTACAATTAGAGAGGAAATAAGACGAGTGTTTTTATAGTCATAATAAGGAACTTGTTATAATGTTATGATGTATGTGAATTGAAATAGAATTTTAAGATTATTTATTATCCTCCTCTGATTTGACTGACTGACTGGTGATAATAATATCTTCCATGCATATCTCTGGTATTTGCATTGAGTCATTTCTGTTGCATGTGTTGTGTTGGGTGTAGACTTGATGAACCAGGCAGGAATCAGTAATCAATCTCTCCCTCTCTCTCTCCACCTACTTATATTACTTCTTAGAACTTTAACCCTCTACCACCCACCTTATTGTGTCGTTGTTTGTTAATGCACGCAGTGCAATCGCTGAGCTTTTTTCTGAATAACTAATCTTACTTTAGCTAAATTCTTGTGTTCCGACAATCTAATTACCCCCGACCTATGTAGTTGACCTCACTCACATTCATTGCAAGGTACTTTGTAAATTATATTATTTTGTCTAATTAGGTCAACCGACAGGGTCATTTAGCCGACAGAGCTTGTTCTACATGAATGAGTTTGTAGGTTTAAATGCCACTGTCTTAATTCCTGCTTTATTAGGAATCCTGCGCGGCTAGGGTCTCAGATGTCCCCTCCTTATATGGTATAACTACTGTAGATGCCTTATGGTCTCTCTTAATGTTATCATTATTAGTTTAACCATTAATTTTTATTTTGCTTTTGACCTTTCTTGGTCTTCCTAATGAATTTTATAGGATAGTTAAGCTATTTAACACCAACGCCTCTTCTATCTGTTTCATTTCATCATTTACGTTTTTTGTTGTACTACTTAGTGTTATTACTCGGTTTGTTAGACATTTAACTAAGCCTGTCTTCACAGACAGATAACGACAGATGAGATGAATTGAAGTTTAAATATCTATTATCAAAATAAAATGTTATCTTTAATGGATTTATACTCTACCACCACAGTGCCCAAGTTTTATACTTATATCAATAGTGAATGAATTAGTTTTATCGAAAAGAGTATTCTTTGTTCGATAAACATTTTTTTGGAAAATTTTAATGGCCATTTTTAATCAGTTAAAATTTAACAATATTAATGCGGATTGTACAGCTAACAGGTTATCATTGTTGACCAGAGTTCATGTGTAGAAGTACTGACCGAAGCAATTCGTCATTGTCATCTAATTACTTACTTGTTCTGTTTTTTGTTTTATTTTTTGGCTTTAATTCAATCGTTTTTTCTGTTTTACTTTATTTTAGGTGAAGGTGTTCTTGAACAAGCTATGAAAGACACTAAAGAAGAAGATTTATTCCTAATGGTTGAAATTGGTGATCAGAATGAGTAAGGCATTCAACTCATTTTACTTATAACTATGTTGTAAAATATCAGAAAGAGTTTAAGCGTTGCTTTTTTTGCGAATTGGGAAACTTAATTAATTGTGAGAGAGTACATCGATTGAATAGCCATCCACCTTAATTTGTTCTAGGATAGAGCTGACAGGAACCCCCTTGAAGATCTGGCCACCGCTGAAGATTTATATACCTAATGTCACACAAACTTGAAGATGTGTGGACGAAAGTCAACCAGTTGTGAGCTATTTTCTTAAATGGATATCGGTCATTAGATCCATTGAGCTTAGCGTGCACGCCCGATCAACATTAGCATCCATATGCCAGATTTCCCGATCCCATGAAATCCCGCACCATGGTCTCCAGGTAGCTAGATTAAAGGCGCACACCACCACGTCCAGCCAATCGCTGGAGACAATCGGTGATATGGCTCAAAATCCCAGTTCTCAATGGCTAGTGCAGATGCATCCACTCCTTGTGACTTATAATACCTGATAAAGCCATATTGTTCTTCGTTATTACTATTCCTTTTGTCTCATATCCCTGTCTACTGTCTCTCTTATTCCTTTCTTCTACTTTCTTCTGTTGGTTTGTGGTGTGCTAGAAGGAGTGGAGTATGTCGACTTGAACTGCTGTATGTCGGTGCAAAGTTCTATGTTGAAAACAGACGGGATCCTTAGAAAACCAGATAATATTGAACAACTATTCCTCTGCAGTTTGGAACTCTTCAGTAGTGCACACACACATTCATCGTTGAACCAAGAATGAACCTGGAGCCCTTTAGGTTACAATTAAGCCCAGTGGTTCGAGATCCGGTGTCCTATGACTTCTAATTTCTGTCAGTTTGCGATCCAAATATCATCAGCGAGTGTACCTGTATTTGAGTAATATTCTGGTTAGGCTCAGGTCGAGTGCTAGGTGTAAAGAAAGGAAATCAATACACGAGACTGAAGTTACATCGATTGAAGCGATGGTTAGGATATGTGATGTGCATGCTAGCCTAGCCATCGATCACCTTCCTCGACAGGAATTGTTGGCTGACATAGGATGGATCAGGTTTGAAAAGTGCTAGCAGATGGCGGTTAAATCAAAACGTGGCACCAATCAATGAAATTTGCAACAGTTAGTTTAAGCCAGCCAGTCACGTAGGAAGGTGAAGACTTCCTGACTAGCTGGTTGGGGTCCTCGGGACGGTAAAAACCAATGAAGGCTGGAGACAATCGTTGGATGGTATGGTTCAAAATCGTTCTTTGTGATGGCGCAGATGCATCCACTCCTTGTGACTTATAATTCCAAATAAAACTCTATTGTTCTTCCTTCTTACTATTCTTTTTGCCTCATATCTCTATTTTGCATTCCTTTTTACTTTCATCTTTCGCTTTGTGTGCTACATGAAGTGTGGCGACTCGAACTTCTGCACATCTCTGCAAAATAATTCTATGTTGAAACCAGTCAGTCAGTCATCTGTTCTCACAATTGAGCTGATGGACTATGTAGGTCAAGACTTATCATAGGGACTCCATGAAGTCCATCTCGTATAGTCGCTGATATTGAGAAGTGGACTAATTGTCATCCAGTATTGAGTGTCGAGTTGAACACACGGCTTGAAGCGTGATCACCACAGTAGGTGTAGCGTTTTTAGTTGTGTTTACGAGATGAGGTTGCTAGCCTCCAGTCTAACCTACTGTCTTTACCCGTCTTATTAATGGTTAACGCGAGGTAAAGGATTGTGTTGGTTGAGGATTGAAACCTAGACCGTGTATGTGTGAGTGTGTGGTTGAACAGCATCCTACCAGTAAGCAACTGATGCGTTCGAAGACATAAGAAAATATTATTACTTGTTCTCTGTTGACTTTATCCAGCCCACATAACACTTCTTCCTCCACCCAGCCACAACCCCCATTGATTTACGTTTCTTTTCCTAAGCTACAGGATTATATTAAACGAGATAGTATAACTGTCTGTATTTTGGTCTTTATTTGCGCTGTTTTTCCCTTCTAGATGGAATGATGCCAATAATAAATATCGTACACACCCACTATATCAAGTGAAACAATTACCCACTTTACTATCTTTATCATTCGTAAGTATAAATTCTGTTTTTGATAACTTTTTCCTTGCTCCGAATCGCGTCCGTAGTGAATTGCCGTAGACTGCTGACCTCCAACCACGCATACAGCCCGGGATTCGGTCCCTGGCCACAGATGCCTTCTTAAACCTCTCTCAGTTACTAGTGTAACGACAGAAGACAAGGGCCAGACAACAGATCGTTTATTCAGAAAATCAACAGATTTTATAGATTTTTATGTACATTATTATTCGTTATTATTAGCAGGAAAACAGAGTCTTCTGATTGGTTGTTTTCTCAGTGAAACGTAATCTGTCATGTCTTTGTGGCCATTTATTTGAAGGTCAGACCATATATCTGTGAATCGTATCCGCCCACGCAAAGTCTGCTGTGATTGGCTACCGAGTTAGTCCTTATTCTTGTTTGTTTTCTCATGACCAAAATTTGTGATGTAAACATTGACCTGAATTGCTGTCTACCAATTTTGCCTAGCAGATTGCTCTCATCACAGTATTAGTCAAATTTGTTGTGTACACATAGCTTACCTACCTAGTTGGTTGGAAGTGTTTTTGAAGGTTGTTACTTCTCGGCCGAGCACATCCTCGTAGAATTCGATTTCTATCTTGGAGTATCGAAAACAGAAGAAAAATTACTGTTGTGTGATCAAAGAGCCGCCTAGAGGACGTCTGTTTTTAGGCCGATCACACACAGACCGACAGCATTGGTTTATACAAAGTTGTTTCCGTATTGTGAGATCTTACCGCCGCTGGGGATGTATAATTTCCGTGGTTGACTTGTTGGTTTTCACCTGAAGATCAGATGGCTGGTAGAAAGAATTTTAAGAAAAAACAGGAAACAATGGGAACAAACTTTCCAAGAACTAATCGTTTGGCGTATGTTGAAGAGACCGTCGGATGACATCGCTCTTGTGAATAGAAGAGTAGGGCATCGTTTTTCTCTTTTGTAAAACCATGGCGGTGAGTAAGTGTTCGCTGATACGCTTGGATAAGGTCGACATACTTGGCTCCACACAAGCAGGTGAATAGGAATGATAATGGACTAAAACAGAATTTGACCTGGTTACAACACCCCACCTCCCAGTCATGAAGTGACAAAATCAACATGAATGTGATAAGCAATTTCACTATGTAAACACATGCCATTTTTATAATTTTATACACTTATCAAATCCAAAATCTACACCTGATTTTGTTATCTTTACCTGTTGGCCAATTTGACAACGTAAAAATTACCCCATGCTGAGGAACGATGATTAAGTTGTTATATATAAGCTGAGGAGATTTTTTATATTCTGGTTTCATAATACTACTCGGCTAAAACGATTAGCAGCAGCATTAAATAACGAAACGTCAGTAGGCACAACAATATCGTTTTGTTTTACATTCATCGGGAGATACTTGAACTCCTCTAGTTTATAACTTGAAGTGATATTGTCTCCGAATGTGATTAGAACACTGACTAGTGTGCAGGGAGTCCTGGACAGTTGTTTCATCCTAGTTTGGGAGTCATCGACAGTACACATCCACCACAGTAGGGTTCGAACCCAGGACCTTCCGGTTACAAGCCCAGCCAGCTCGTATACCATTCAGCCACTGAGTGACACCTGATTCAACAGCCATCCCATGAATTCTAACTTCTACCAATTCGTGATTTGAATCGGATCCCAGAGGTTGAGTGGTCTGCGAGCCAGCTTGCCTTGTAACCGGAAGGTCCTGGGTTCGAACCATTGTGGTGGATGCGTACTGCCAATAATTCCCAAACTAGGCTGATGAAACAGCTGGCTGTCCAGTACTCCCTGCTGGTTTTCAATGGTTCTCTAACTGATAACAATCCGTGATCCACTCGTAAAAAAACTAACTAACCCTAACAAACCAAACTGTAAAATATTTATCTGTCTGATTTATTGAATATCCTTTACATTTCTATGTATGTATCCATTAACTAGAATATCTAAAAATAGTTAATGTCAACAATGCTATTGTTTTATATCACATTATTGTTGCACTTAGTCGAATTTTGTTACCTATTTCATGATATATTTATTATGATTAATTAATTGATTAATCAACTGATTGATTGATTTTTCAACTTTATCTTGTTTTAATCTTTTAGTTACAAGGTCAAACACAAGTGGCTAGTCGCCTTGAAGGTGAACCGTGTTTAAATTTAGAAAATGTTCAAAAGCTATTTAAAGGCAATTAATTAATAAGATATAGACACAATAAAAATAATTGACTGTCTGACGGACTGACTGACTGACTAAATTGTCAGTTCCTTTTATTTAATGCAATCCACTGCGCCTACCTGATCTCTCAATGTTGTGTGTGTTTGTGTGTTGCTATTGCCTCTGTGATCATATATATTTTTCTACCTTATAGCTTATGCATTTTTTGTTATTTTCTCTTATTTGATGTTACTACTTTGTTCTCTATCACTTGTCGCTAACACATTTTTTTTTCAGTTCTCAATGATATTTATTCAGTTGATAACTAGAGCTTTTAAGCGTTACGAAATATATTGTGTCATCGTTATTATTATTTACTAATTTTGTGTTTGATTTTCTCTTCTAAAAGAGATTGGTGGGGGAGGGCACTGTAGCTTAAGAAAAGAGACGTAAATCAACCGGGATTGTGGCTGAATTGGAGGCAGAAGAGTTATGTAAGTTAGATGAAGTCGACAGAGAACAAGTAATAATATTTTCTTATGTCTTCAGACGCGTTCATTGTTTACTGGTAGGATGCTGTTCAATCACATACACACACACACTGGTCCAGGTTCCAATCCTCGACCAACACAATCCTTTACCTCTAGTTAACTAGTAATTAGCTGGGCAGAGACAGTAGGTTAGACTGGAGGCTAGCAACCTCACCTCGTAAATATAACAGCTCAATTGTGAGAGCAGGTGACTGACGGAGTGGTTTCAACATAGATCTATCTTGTGCAGAAGTTCGAGTCGCCACACTCCACTCCACGTAGCTTACAAAGCAAGAGAAGAAAATAAAAAGGAATGCAAAACAGAGATATTAGGCAAAAAGAATAATAACATGAAAGAACAATATAGTATCATTAGTAATTATAAGTTACAAGGCGTGGATGCATCTGCGCCATCACCGAAAACGATTTTGAACCATGTCACTCACCAATTGTCCCCAGCTGTCATTGGTGTTTACCGTCCCGAGGACCCCAGCCAGTCTACACGTCCCTACGTGGCTGGCTGGCTGGCTTAAACTAACTGTTATGGGTTTTATTGTTTGATGAAGCCATGTTTTGGTTTGACCGCCATCTGCTAACTCTTTTCCAACCTGACTCTATGTCAGCTAACATTTCCCATTATCGAGGAAAGCAGGCGATAACCAGGCTAGCATGCGTAACACATGTCCTAACCATCCCAGTCGATGTAACTTCACAGCCTCGTCGATTGATTTCCCCTCCCACCAACCTAGCACGCAACCGATGCCTAGCCTCAATTAGTTTGAGTCAGCCATGTGGGGGAGGTGTAGACTGCCTGGTTGGTTGGGGTTGTCAGAATTCTAAGTACCAATGGAGACTTACTAATATTAAAACAATTAGTCCCTTTCATAAATTTGAATGAGGCATGTAGAAGACAAATTTGGCGAGATGATATCATTTCGTAGTTTCTTTACAAACGCTTTACAACTAACATGGTTAACAATAATAAAATAAAGATCATGACAATTACTCAGTTAAATAAAAAATAAAAGTACATACTAATGACCAATCACATTTAATTAGGTCATGTTGTCCATGGTAGGCGAAGACTAAAGTCTATTGTTTTTTTGTACACACAGTTTAGGCTGTATGTGATTAATCTAAAGTGCTTCCATCACCTTCAATAACCTTGAATTAGAGTTATATGAAATAATTGTGAAACAATCATTAATATTGATTTTGTGACCTGACATTAATAAGTGTTTTGCAATGGATGATGCTGGATTTCTATTCAGATTACTCGCATTGTGATTTTCTATATGATTTAGTAGCCATTTTGGAACATGTTCTTTTCGACGACATTGGAACATTCTATTGGTTCTACCTATATAGGTGTCACCACAGCTGCAGGTGAACTTGTAGATACAGTTTGAAGTAGAGTCCACAGAATTTCGTCCTTTAATCGTAGGTACAGGGATGGAAAATGTTCGGCAAGTGAGAAAAAGAGATGCGGCGGCGTAGAATGTGCGTTTGATGGCTGACCGAAGTCTTTGAGTTAGCTGTCAACTGCATAATCTGGTCACCCTTGAATAATGGTAGGTTAATAAAGATAGCTTTCTTTGGTACCGAAGCTGTCCTTTCGAGATGCGGTCTTTCTTTATTGTGACAAGTGATAAAGTTTTCTGGATAACCATTAGCTAATAAAACTGAATGTACATGTCAAAACTCATCCATCACTGTGTCACTTGTGCATATTTTTCGGACCCTTGAGAACAAACATTTCACTAGGGAAGGTTTATACTGGATAGGATTAGTCACACACAGCCTAAACTGTGTGTACAAAAAACCAATAGACTTCAATCTTCGCTTACCATGGACTACTTCACCTATTTAAATATGATTAGTCATTAGTATGTACTTTTGTGTTTTTTAACTGAGTAATTGTTATGAACTTTATTTTATTATTGTTAACCATGTTAGTTGTAAAGCGGGTTGTAAAGAAACTACGAATTGACGATATCATCTCGCGAAATTTGTCTTCTACATGCCTTATTCAAATATTACTGATATATCTGAAAATCGATCACAACAGCACAAATGCATTGACTTTCTGTGATCTACCTTATCCAATAGAACTCTGTTGTACTTTCGTGTTACTGTGGTGAGAGATAGCTGCTAGCCAAATTGGTAGACAGTAATTGACATCAATGTTTATGTCTCAAATATTAGTCATGTGAAAACAAGATCAAAGATGGACAACAGACTTTGCGTAGGCGGATACAGTTAGAAAATAGATGATCTGACACTCAAGAGACAGGAACAAAGAGATGAAAGATTGACTTTTAGTGACAAGACAACCATCAATCAGAAGTCTGTGTTTTTATGCTAACAATAATCTATAATAATGTACACGAAAACGATCTGTTGCCTGAGTCTTACCTTCTGTCGTTACATTACTACTGCTCTTTCTCACTTAGATTTCTGCTTATTTTCGATTTTTCGAATCTCTGTTCTGTTTTTATCGTCTACCTTTGTGTTCCTTCTACATTGAATATGGCAATTTGAACTGGTGGTGGTTACACTTCTGTACAAAGTTCTAGGTTGATGAAATCAGCCGGGATTAAATCAGCATTATTTTATTTTAGTCCTTTCTGTTCGCAGTGGAACATACAACTCTGACGTTCCAGTTGCAGTGGTGTTTATTTTTTCTTATGAGATGAGGTTGCTATCTTCACTCTCAACCTTCCCTCTTTGTAGGGCGTACAAGCGGTTAACGGAGGTAAAGGTGGACACCGACTGGTAATGGAACTCCGGATCACATGCGCGAGCATTGTACCGTTGAACCATCGACGCGGAATAAAATCATGAAAATCCAGAATTATATGTTCAACCTTGAAGTGTAGCTGTAATTTTCTCAGACTAGCAAGGACTCTGAAAAAGTGTAGATAACTCTATCTCACCTTAAAATTCAAGTATTGATTTGTAGGGATTTGATTGATTGATTGATTACAGGGTTTCATCATGAGCTGTGACATTGGTTAGAGAACCATTGGAAAACCTGGGAGTACTGCCAAACAGCTGTTTCGTCAACCTAGTTTGGGACTCTTCAGCAGTACGCATCCACCGGGGTTAATCTAATTTCCCTTGTTAGGTATCGTCACGAACCAATATCTTTCAGGGGAGATTACTGTAAACCAAGAAGCACTGGGCAGTTATTTTGTCCCATAACTCCTACAATGATGTGGTGGTTGGGCTTGTTAAATCGAAATGACCCAGCGAGCTACACTGGCTGGAACTAATGTTCCTAGAGAGAGATTTCACCATGTCAGAAAGGTTGTTGGGTTAACAATCAACTTAAAATCAATTAACGGCGTAGTATAAGATGTTCACACTGTGCTGAGGGGGTCTGTGGGCAAAGCAGTACTGTGGCGAATGCTACTGATAAGATTTATGAGTAGTATAATAAAGAGACGTTCATCGGCATGAAAACATCAAATAGCAGGGAAATACGTTTGATTTCAGAGAAGGCAAATGACACAGCGTTGTAGAGATACATGGGAGACGTAAAACGAATACAATAGGAAGTCCGGAAGTATCACAACACGAAAATCTGTATAAATTGTGAGTTGGTGATAAGGTGTACATACCGAGTCTTCGTCTTCTACCGTTTGCATACTATCGGGGAATAGGGATGTAATAGCAATAATGCGTTACCCACAGACGATCAGCAAGCTAGCTGTGGTGCGTCTCAACTCTGGAGTTAAAGGGTGATTAGAGAAGATCAGGTCAACTCCGCAAAATCGCACATCTTGACTTACCCTATAGTGGTTCGTTGGCTGATGGTAATTTCCTAATACACAGACATAAACTCTAAAATTCAATTCAAACAGATTGTTCGTTATTGGGCTCTATGGTCACGTAACACTAGTCCTCTTTCTGTCTCGGGTACCCCAGGAAGAAATCAACTTACACGGTAGTGTGGGCAACTGGGATGTACATACTGCGTCGGTGGCACAGTGGTTAGGACTCTCGCCGACCATGCACATGGTCCGGGGTTCGATCCCCTGCCGACGCACACCCTGATATCTATGGTCGGCCTGTATATTTGGGCTACCGATATCCATGCTGAAAATTTCATACTTGTACTGAAAATACGGTGTCGAATCAAGCTGTAAATCAAAAAAAAGCACATGAAGCTGTCCTGATCATCATCATACAGTACAATGTTGATTCTAATTTTCTCTTTGCAATTACTTAGCACAGGCGATTTAAAGTGATATTAGTGTCAGCAATCTTGAAGGGACACTCATATCCCTCCTTCTGAGATTCGAACCCGTCTCACTCAGTGAGTGCTTCAGCCAAAGACGTTACCGCTGGCTGAGCTAGCTATCCGGGCTCGCGATTGACCTTCTATAGGACCGTATTAGATAATTTTGATTGGACACGAGTAACTAGTGTCATGTGTCTGGTCCTTTTGTTTACTGCAAACTGAATTCTATCAGTCAAGTTTCCAATATGGCCACCATTCTAGCTGGCTTGCCATCGCGGTACACTCAGGATTGTTGTTGTCCGAGCATAGAGTCTTATATAATTTCTTCCTTTGTCCTACTTGATAATGAGATGCATTCAACAGGGAGACAGTTTTGTTTAAAGAGGATGCCTCTCAGAGTTCGACAAGAGATAATACTCGCTAATTTCTTACTTGAGTTCAAGTGCCTATCCACAACAGTTTTTGTAATCTGGCATAGCGATATCCCATTCACCCTACTGACAGCTTGATATCGCCCTTCTTAGTGTAATAAAATCTTTCCTAAGTAACCCAGGGAAGATTGAGGGTGAGCCATAAGGGAAGAATAG